TTTTTTTTTTTTTTTTTTTTGTACCGGGGATTGAACTCTGGTCCTTGTGCTTGCAAGGCAGGCCACCGAACCGCTTAGCTAAATCCCTGGCTTCTTTTTAATTTTTTATTGTGAGACAGATTCGTACTCACTAAGTTGCCCAGGCTAGGCCTGAACTTGGAAACCTTCCTCAGCTTCCCAGGGTACTATTTTTACAGATGTGCATAACCATGCCTGGTTCTTTGTGCAATTCTTTTGGCATGGAAACATTTCAGTGTTATGTTAAAGGGTTTATCCTTTATCAGGAGTATGTGAGTGAACATTTCTTATACAGTGGTGTGTTGGTTCACAAATTTAATTCTTTTCACGATTTGGGTCACAGCATTGAAGTCGATTGCAACCAGAGTTCTGGAATGAATTCTGGGACCAGAATTATGGAAAGAGTTAAGTTTGTGAACCAAGGTATCGATGTATCAAATTCAGAAAATTATGATTGTTATGATACTGTCATGATTGTTATGACTGTTATGATACTATTGATTTAACGTATGACCCATATATAAATTTTGCTGTCTAAAATGCTGCTTTTTTTATCACCCAGGATTTAATCAAAGATGGTGCTTTTCATTTAGTTGTCATGTCTTTTAATTTCCTTTAATCTGGAATAGCTCCTCAGTCTGCCTTTTCTTATATTGACATTTTTTAAGAATACAGACTACATAAGTAGGAATGGTGGAAAACACCTATAATCCTAGCTAGTTAGGAGGCCGAGGCAGAAGGATAGGAAGTTGAGGGATAGTCTGGACACCTCAGTGAGACCCTGCGTCAAAGTAATATATCTAGATGGTAGAGCATTTGCCCAGCATCCACAGATACCTGCGTTCAGTCCTCAGTACTGAAAGGAAAAAGTCTAGGCCATTTGTTTTATAGAATGGCTCTCAGTTCATTTGTCTAAACTAGTTGCTGTGAGTGAGCTCTGCCAAGAAAATATTCTAGATACATTATTTTTCCACGATACCAGATTTTATTAGATAACAAATTAGCTACCTAAATCTAGTTCAACAGGTTTATCTTCTGAATTAGCCTAGATTTTACTTGATAGCCATAAGCCAGGTTCTTTTATTACCATCTTACTAACATCTAACACTCAAGTCACACATTACATAATACTATGAGGTGTGATCAGATTATAAGATGAATATTTTACAACTGCAGTAAAGACATTGCCATTATTCTGATAAAATACACCACCTTGCTTCAAATACACTTACCCCATCCTTTTTGCCACTTTCTGAAGCAGTTCTGGAAGTCTTCTTTTATGAGTGTCTTTAGAGGTGGAATGAAAAATACAGTGAATGCTGCTGCCAAGTGCCATCCAACAGAGAAGGAGGCTAGTCAAACACATCGTGTGTTCTCATTCTCCTTCTTTACCTGGCCTAGCACCATGCAACTGCTGGCTCTTCCCCAAATTGAAAATGACCTTGAAGGGTAAATATTTGGAATCAATTCAGGACATCGAGGGAGCTACAAAGGTGCAACTAAAGACTGGCGAAAGAGAACTTCCAGAACTGGCTTTGATAGATCAAGTGTGGATTTGCCCTTGACTGAAGCAGATTAAGTTTACAGGTGATCATTTTTATAAGCATGATTAAATGCCTTCATCAGTTTTTGCCTTATGAGTGTGCTGTGCAGCTGGGGTGTTCTTTTTCATGAGTTTGCATGTCTAACACCTGGTGGTTTTCTGTTTGCACAGACAACTGGGTCCTTCTGTCTAAGCATTTACACTCAAAATGAAGCCAATTGTTGCTTTATAAAGTAGGCCAGGCATAGCCTGAAAGTTGTTCCATATATATGGAGTAATTCACAGAGGGCACAGCCCACAGTACACACCAGTGTTTCTCAAGGTATGGACTGTGATTGGTGCTGATCCACGCAGGGTTGTTACCAGTGGTGAGGAGGCTACCCCAGAAATAGATCTTACTTGTGACAGTGAAGATCTGTATCAATATTGAAAAGTTTTTATGCCTGCTGACATTGATGATGAAACTTTGGAGCATACGCTATCTTCTGATTTCATTTTTCTAATAATTTACTTATATTTTCTAAACTATCAGTTTTTAGTGAATTGAACTTTTAAGAACGGGGGCCCTGAAACATAGCAACACTGGTCTAGAATGAGATGCTGGAGGCTCAGGACCGTGCTTTACTCTCTTCTGAATCCCTTATAGCTTGACCAGGGCTGCAGAAATGTTTGTTGTGGGGTAACCTGAAATGTCCCATTCCATTTGTAGAAATGCCATGCTTATAATGGGTCCAAATCTATTTCTCTAACTTACTGTTGCCTTCAGACACATCACATCACATTGCATGTCTAGTCAGGTGGTAGCTTTTCAGAGATTTAATGATTGGAACCGTGATTTAAACCTCTGGTTTAGGTGAAAGGAGCTCATTTTTAAAATTCATTTATAATGATTAGGATTAGGTTCTACTGAAAATGATAACATTCTGATTGTGAAAAATACTTCTATGGATATAAACAAAACTATTGTGCTTCTAGTTGTATGAAAGTACACCACATATAGTTTTGTATACCATGTAATAATGAGAATAAATGACACTTATTTTCTGTACTACCTTTTGAATCATTTTAGAGTGTACTTTTTGTACAGTATAAAAAGTGTCCCATAAAATGTGATGCAGGCAGTAGCTTTGTGAGCTTGTGTCTCCATGTCTCTCAATGTCATCCAGAAGCCACAGTGAGCTGGGGATTTAGCTCAGTGGTTTTGCCACCTGCCTCGAAAGCACAAGGACCCGAGTTGGATTTCCAGTACCAAGAAGCCACAGAGATGCCACAGCTGCAGTGGCTGACCCATCCATTTAGGTTTGAAGTTCTCACATCGATGTTCACACAATGATGAAACTGGCTAATGACAGTTCTCATGCCCATGTCAGTTAGTGACCCATGATGGGTACCTAGAAAACATTGAAATATATGAAACATATAAAACATTGTCAAAAGAAATTTAAGATCTAAATGAATGAACAAAAAATGTCCTATCTCTCCTGTCAGGCTGCCATAGCAAACTCCACAGATTGGATGTCTTAAACAGATTCGTTTCTCACTGCTCTGAAGGCTGAGAAGCCTGAGGTGAAGGTGCCTGCTGATTGAGTCTGTGGTGAGGGCCCCTTCCTGGTTTGCAGGACACCTCTTGCTGTGTCTCATGTCAGAGTGGGAGATCTTTCTGCATCTCCTGTTCCTGGGCACTAATCCGGTGCAGGGGGCTCTAACCTTAGGACCTACTCCCTTCCCAGAGGCCCTGCCTCCAAACACCATCCCTTTGGGAATTAGGCCTCAATAGATAAGTTTTGGGAGGACAAGAACATTGAGTCCATAGCACATGCCACAAAAGTGTTCATAGATGGAATTGTTAACCTCATCAAGATGGCGGTACTCCCAGATTAACCAACAGATTCAGTGCAGTTCCTGTCAGTCTCAGCTGGTCACTTGGTAGAAATTGATAAGCTGATTCTGAGGTTCGTATGGAATTACAAGGGACCCCAACAGCCAAAGTAATCTTGACAAAGAACAAAGAGGGATCTTATGGGGATGCACGAAGGCTGTGAACTAAGAGCCTGTGTACTGAGTCCTCTCCCACTTAGCCCAAGAGGGATTTATTACGTAATTGTGGGAGAAAGTACCAAGGATCCCCGTAATGGAATTGTGTTGTTTTCACAGGTTCTCTGTCAGTGGAGATGCCAGGAAGGTCTCAGATAGCATACGTGAATGGCAATGTGACACTCTCCTGCCAAATCCCTGGCTGCCCCAGCCTGGACACCAGGATTATGGGTGTTACCTGGTATCGGAAGGATCTGGTGTCTGAAGCAGAAATCAAGGTGTTTGAGCTTTATGGAGATCAGCAAAAGGCATTCCGACGTGGGGCCATGGTGTCTGCACAGAAGCTGAAGAGGGGTGACGCCTCCCTCCAGCTGCCTGGGGTCGGGCTGGGGGATGCAGGCGAATACCGGTGTGAGCTGACGGTCACCCCTCAGAAGGCAAAAGGATGGGTCTTGTTGGAAGTTCTCGGTAAATACCTGAGGGCAGTGCCCTGCAGTTGCCATGGTGCTGGTTCTTGGGTGGGGATGCATTTGGGTTGGTGTGTGGGTCTAACCCAGATGTGGGCTCCCTTCCTGGGCTTCGATAAACACTTTGATGAAAACCTTGAGCCAGTTATGAGTCACTCTGAACTTGGGTGCTCTACTAAAGAGTATCATAGGTAAGATTTTAGACAAATGCAGATGAAATGCTGAGCATAATGGTCAGTTCCTGTAAATGCCCAGTAAATGATAGTGTTAGCAGTTATACAATTCACCTTTTGTATGAGCAGTCGATGTTACTGAGGAAGTAACAGGTTACTGGTAAAGGAGAGAGGTGCTGGGTTCTGACTGGGCTCACCTGAATCCTGTTTTAGCTTTGCTTCTTCTAACCTGTAAGTGGCCTGTTGTTTAATATCTTTAAAACTGAATTTTCCCATGTACAAAATGGGCTCATAACTCCTACCTGCTTCATAATAAGATATGAGTAAAAGAAGTTATGGTGGTGCATGCCTTTTAATCCCAGTTACCTGGGAGATTGAGGCTGGAGAATCAAATTTGAGGGCAACCTGGGCAACTTAGAGAGATTCTCTTTCAAAATAAAGCAAAAGTATAAACAATAAGCACAGATGTACAAGATAAACCAAACAAGTTGCTGAGTATTAGCTCACTGATAAAGGTGAAAATATCCAGCTGTTTGCCTATTGCAGTGTAGGTAGGTTCTCATCTAGGCTTCAAACAAAAAGCTCTTTGAGCTTCTCTTTCCTCTGTTATAAAAGAATTTGGTATGTGAGTGAGCTTCGTGGTTTATTAGTGTGCTATGGCTACCATAGCAAAGCAGCACTGACAGGGTGGTTAACCACAGCTGTTTATTTCCTTACAATTCTGGAGACTAGAAGTCTGAGATCAAAGTGTCAGCAGGGTTGATTTCTTGTTTCCTCTCTTCTTGACCTTCTGTTGGTTTTTCCTCATGATCTTTTCTGTCTGTCCTTCCTGAGTCTCTTTTCTTGAAAAGACACACCAGTTACAATAGATTAGGACCCACCTTGATAATCTCCTTTTAATTTTATTAGCTCTTTAAGAATTTATCTTCAACTGTTCACATTCAGTGATACCAGGAACTCTGGGGAGGACATATGAATTTTAGGGAGACAGAGTTCATATCAAAAGAGCAGCATTTTGAAACCTTCTTAATTATATGTAGAACTTTGATCATTTTGTACATGTTAATATAGGAGTGTGGAGGTATAGCAGTTAGAAAAATTCATTGATTCTGCAGATTACAGAAAGCCTGAAATAACAGTGTCTTAAAAAAAATGAATAGTGTGAACACTGAATAGTTTTCTCTGGCATGGAAAACTTAAAGTGTAAATAAGGTTCAAATTTATAATTGATAATGTGAAATAGGAATAAAAGGGCTAAAGGAATAGGGGAAGTGGGGCGGATAGGGGAAAGAGAAGGGAAAAGAAAAAATATGAGAAAAGGACAAAATGGAAACGAAGTCTTTGTAAATAGGGAAGGGTGGTAGGGGTGAAGGGAGGACAGGGGAATGGGGAAAAAATAAGAACCAAGATGCATCAGGTAAAGATTCAAGATCCCAATGATGAATGTAACTGTACTGTATACCTAAAAAGTACCAATAAATTTAATGAAAGAAAAGTGACTAGACTTACAAGATAGTCTAACAGGTTCTCATTTACTCCTAGCACTGTGCAGCATTTATCCTATCACTAACAGCTTGCCTTAGTATGATGCATTTGATTTAATTAATAAACCAGTATTGATAGGTTACTGTTAAAGTCCATAATTTATTCAGATTTCCTTTGTTTTTACCTAATATCCTTTTTCTGTTCCAAGATTCCATCTAGAATACCACATACTTATTTTTCCCAGTACTGGGGATTGAACTCAGGACCTTGAGCTTGCAAGACAGGAGTGGTGCCACTGAGCTAAATCCCCTAGAATACCACATACTTTTAATTAGCATGCCTCTTTTTGGCTGTGACAGTTTCTAGACTTTCCTTGTTTTTGATGTCCTTGACAATTTTGGGAAGTACTGGTCAAGTTTTTATAGGATGCCATTCTCTTTGTGGATTTGATTGCTGCTCTTATAATGTGACTAGGGCTTTGGGTTTTGGAGGGTGAGCACAGAGCTAAAGGATGTTTGCATTGCATCATGTCAAATCACATAATCTATGATGGCTGATGTTGACTTTGATCACCTCGGTGCAGTAGTTTTTGTCTGGCTCTTTCACTGTTAAGTTACTCTTCCTCACTGCTTCTTTGCTGTGCTCTTTAAGAGGAAGTCACTATGTATGGCCCCCTCTTATGGAGTTATGCTCCTTTCCCTTTGGAATGGAGTATGTCCATGATTCATTTGTACTTTTTCATAGGAGATTTTTGTTTTGTTTTTGTTTTTGTTTTTGTTTTTTGAGACAGGGTCTCACTGTGTAGTTCAGGCCAAACTTGAACTCATGTAGCTCAGGCTAGCCTCAAACTCTCAGTGATCTTCCTGCCTCATCCTCCTGAGTGCTGGGATCACAGGTGTTCGCCAACACACCTGGTTTGTTTTTGTTTTTGTTTTCCGCCATTGATTTATTTTTTTAGTCATTTAATTTTGGTTTTATTGAGGTCTGTGACCCGAATGAATTAACTTTTGTAAAAAGTGTAGGATCTCGTTGTAAATTCCATGTGCATTTGTTGCATATGATTATTGTGCAGCTGTTCCAGTACCATTCCATGTAAAGACTATTCCTTCTCCTCTAATTACCTTTCTTCATCAAAGATGAATTGAATATATTTATGTTGTTCTATTTCTGGCTTTCTGTTCTGTTCTTTTGATCTGTTTGTCATAGTTGCCAGGAGATGCTTTAACCATTTTTATTACATTTAAATGACTGGACCCAAGTTCCTATCGCTACACCCACCTGCAATAGGAATTTAATGTGCATTTAACTTGGATGTGTCACATGCAGCTAAGAATGCTCAGGAGAAGAAGTCTTTGCAACAACAGAAGGCTTTCTGTGTATTCTGACCAGTATCTGGCATACAATAGTTGAAGTAACTCTTTCCAAAATTATCATGAGAATTAAGGTCACAGCATGGCAACGTCACACTGGCAGTGGAACCTGCTTAGACTAGCTTTTGGGGTGGGGGGGCTTATGCTTGTGAGGCAGGCAGTGGCATCACTGAGCTAAATTGCCTGCCCAAGGCTGCCTAACTTAAGCAGAGTCCCATTCAATTCATTCACTGTTCCTGAAGTCTTTCCCTGAGTCAAACATCGGGCTGGGCATCAGCTAGTTTCTACCCACTCTTTAAGAATTCCCAGTCAGCTAAGGCAACTCAGCAGATCTTCAGTTTATTGCTGGGCATGGTTTTAGCATCACCTGTCTCCAAATCTCTATCTTTGAAAGAGCAGATGCCTATGTTTTCTTTCTTGCCTGGTTACAGTAGAAGTGATGCTGATGTGTAGGTGTGGCAGAAGCTAGTTACCATGAGGCAAGGGGAGAAAAAATTAGTTGGTTTGGAGCCAAACTCTATGACTTCTCTTCCTTGGCAGCTAAACTAGCCATCACATTGAAAAAACCCATAGTGAAAAGTAATGGCACACACCTTGTGTGTCAGTCAAGTGGGTTCTCCCCAGAATCCATAAGCATAACATGGGTGAAGTGGACCCAGAAGGCTCCCCAGAGCCAAAGGATTTCCAAGGACAACGTTACTGGTCCCACCGTTAAGAATGAGGATGGTGTATTTAGCATCACCAGCTACTTGAAACTCAATGCCTGTCTGGAAGACAATGGGACCATCTACCAGTGTGTGGTGGAGTACCCATCTTTGAGCATCTCCCAGAAGGTGAACTTCACACTGCCTGTGATAGGTAAGTTTCTTCTTGCCCATTTCCTCCACTCTTCACCTCTAGGCATATAATTGAACTGTTCAGTTCCTGGACAGTCTCGAGTCTTTGCTAGTGTTTAATGGGGGTAAAGACTAAGCTTGAGCTAAGGAAACAAGCTGTGGTCTGACTCAGCTCAGCCCCAGAGGAGCAGTCTTAGTTCAGTCCCTGTGCCAGGCAGATGGCATGGTAGCTAGAAAGGGGTGGTAGTCATCAGGTGGAAACAGGGCTACTTGTTGGTTCATGGCAGCTTCAGGTTTCTGGATAGTTCTTGTAGCTTGGAGTGGGAAGCTTGTCAGCTTCTAAGGAAAGAAACAGGGTCTTGCCTTTGTCCCCTGATGGTAAGGATCTGTCAGGGCAAAGGATTAGCACCCCTTTTAGTCAGGCCCCACATAAACTGCTGTCTGGTAGAGGCCAAATTACCTTAATAGGCTTTGTCCCAAGACAGAGGACACAGTAGGGGTGATCCTATAGATGCTCACAGCTCTCTGCGGATATACCCAATTCTTAGAGAACAGATTTCTTGTAAAATCTTCCTCTTCCTGGGTTTTTTTTGGCTCATATGTTGGTTACCCATGTCTCTGGTGTTGGGTAGGGAGGACTCTGTTGGTTAAATGAATATTTCTGAGACAGCTGGGAGGCCTGGGGAATGTGAATGGGCTAAGTCAGATGGACCTTGGGTGATCCTAAAAGGAGAAGTGAATTGTCCTTGAAACAAAGGCTGGGCTGTGTGTTGCACTGGACAGTAAGCGCACAACAGCACAGCTGTGGTAATGTCCAGCAGACGCATGAGCTACTTCAGACCCATGATTTGTTCACATCTATGAATGTTCATAATGTAAGGTCCATTTGTATATGTGAAAGTTTACAACGTGAATGTTCATAAATTGGAGACTTACTGTACTCAGATGTGGGAGATGTGTATAATTAGGAATGGTGATGCCAAGATCTGGGTGCCGAGTTGGTTGTTGGATCTCTTGACAGGAACATGACATAAAGTGAACAGGTGCTAGCAGCAATTGTGTAATGCACCTTAGGCCCTTGCTAAAGGTTTCTTCTTACTGTTCTTCTGTCTCTCTGCAGAAGCTGAGAGGATTCATCTCTCTTTGGTTGATAAAAGATTCATTTGGTATTTTGCACTGATTTTTTAAATTTTGTTTTTGGTACTGACAACTTGGAAATGTGCTTGTAAGGAAGACGGTGGAACCACTCAGCAAAATCTAATCCCCGTTTTTAAAATTAGGAAAAGGTAAGGGGCTCTGAAAGAAAGTGTTATCCTTTGTTTTGGACATGGCTCTAAGACCTCAGGATCATGGTCAATGGATAAGGTCAGGGAGTTCTGAGGGTTGGTAGTGGTGTGTTGTGAGTATGGGGTTGGTTCTTTCTGATGTGTTGGGAAAGAACTTTGCCATGGGATCACCATATCTTGGTTTATGACTCGGGAGAGGCAGTGTGGACTTCCTCTGTCTCCACACTATACAAGTGTCTGTGTTGATTGAACCTAATCATATGAACTTAGACCTGGGCTTTGAACTATGTGTAGCTGCATTGTTCTCACACACAGAGAAACCGCCGCTGAGAGAAGAGAATTCACTCCCATCATTGCTCATGTTTACTTCATACTTCAGTGGAATAACTCACTACCAGCATTCACTGCCTTAGCCAAGATTCTTCTAACCTTAGTTTATGTTTCTATACTAAATCCTTGATTGTGGCCCAAATAGCAAGTGACACAACATTAGCTTTACAGACCCAAGAGACCCAGATGAATGTGTTGGTTAAAATGGTTCTAGATGATACATTTCTTCCTAGTTATTTATGGGCCTGGCAAGGCGAAATCTGTACAATGGAAAATTAAGTTTGTTAAGAAAAAACCTGCTCAACTCACATTGGTCAACTGATTCATGGAAATTACTCTCCTGGTTGGAGCTAAGCCAATGAGAAAACAAGATGTAAAGTGGTTTTTGCATGTTTCTTGTGATATTTGTGATTGTTTTCATATATCTTTTCTTTCTCTGATTCTCATATGCAGGTGCTGTTATGCAACATCCAGCGATGAAGGTACAGAAGAAACCACGGTCCTGAATACTTCGGTAGTTTACACATATGACTCCAATCCTTCATGTGTGTCTACATCCACATCTGTTGCCCCATAGCTTTGCAGTGCCCCCCAGTCCTGAGTGGTACATTGACCTTGAGCTCAAACATGTGCCTTGTTCCATCAAGAAAGTGACTCCAGGCCAGTTCCCAGTTTAGCCCATGAGAGGCCTCTCATGGCTTCCTTTGCTGTCTTTGGTGCCTCTGACATGAGAGAAGGATGAATCCAGGCTGGTCAGCTGGAGGATGTGCAGTACAGGAAGCAGGGCCACACCATCCTAGGTGAAGTGACAGCCATTCATCTCTCCTTAGGCAAGTGTAGCTGTGGTCAGCAGAGCTGACAGAGCCAACTGTAAAGACAAAAGAAATATGTCAGTCTTGACCTAGTCATGAAGTGGTTAATGAATATGCTGTTTAATTCCAAGCTACAGTTTGACAAGATACAAAAATACCACAATAAAGAAGGCAGCCGATGCAGGTGTTATCTCTGAGATGAAGGTGTTATCTCTGCCCGACACAAGCCATGCTCTCTCAGAGAAGATACAACACAGAGCACAGGATGGGATGTTCCCAACATCGAGATAACAACTGCAAAGTACAGCATCTTGTCAACCCCAAGTCATCTGATAATGTCCATATATCTGCCTTGACTACTGTATGGACTTAAGAGTCCCGCTTCTATCCCTCTCCACTGCACTGCCCCTGAATTCATTCTTCTGCCCTAGAATTAATCCTTCAATTTTAGAGAGCACAAACTTGCATGTCAGATATTGAGCAGGTTGGGAGTTATAATACTTCCCTTTTGGATTATTTTGCTTATTTGGATTACTTGGTGGCCTATATCAGTGGCACATGCTATAATCTAGCACTTGGGGGGCTGAGGCAAGATTTATCACTGAGTTCAAGGCCAGCCTCAACTACTACGAGTAAGACTCTGTCTCAAAACAAGCAAGCAGTCAAACACCC